AAGCAGTGCCTGAGTATGATTTGTTTCATGATTAGGTCGCGAAGGGTGTCATAATAACTGATTTATTTTACATCTTCATCCTTAATACTACTCTTTCTTAATTCCCTGTATAATACCAAATAAAATATGAAAAATAAGCAAATTTTTCCGAGATTATCAATTAGCTGCATTAATAATTATTTTAAGGAAATACGGACTTTTCTTATTCGTGTAATATCACTGTTGCTAAAATGAATTTAATTACGCGCTATAATACAACGTTAAGATTGTCGTGAACTTTGTGATTTGAAATGAAATAGTGCAAACTTTGAGACAGAAGTTGGTAGACTTCTCAGGACTTTAGATTTCACTCGTGATAAAATACAGCAGTGTATATACTTGTGAACAGATTATCCTTAGATAATGGGATGCGTTTGCTGTTAAGAAAATTGCTGTATTCGAAGAAATTGCTTAATTTATTCAATAAATGTTCCACTTTGAAGAAACACGGCGTCGACGTCGTTTCGTTTGATCGATTTGTCGGCCTACAGAAGCAATGGAAATGTAATTATTTTATCATCGCTGTAAATTTCTGAACGAATTTTCAAGTTATTCTGAAGCCATGGTGTCGTATCTATCAAATGTTATTTTCATAGCCGTAACTCCAAAATTGCATTTTTTCCAGTTGTCATTTTTGAAGTATACAGTGTGATACGATTTTTCAAAGCTTTCTTCACGCTTACGACTGACTTCGTCCCTTAAAGACTAGGCAGATATCGCTAAAAACAATTTTTCATCAAAATCAACGTGTCGACGTCGCATTTTCACGAATCATCTGTGGACCTCCCTTTTTCCCTTATCGATACCACATTAATTTCATGTTTTTACGTTCGACTAAACATTCTTCAGCAGAGATTTTCTAATGATTTCAGCTCTGACACTATTTAGCTTTTCAATTCCCTTATTCTACCATCGAATTACAATCTTTTTGTCCTAAATTGTCCTCCTTATTCCCTGATCTATGACTATTTTCTAACATAACCTCACTTTCGTTATCATTCCCCTCCTACTCCTTATTACTGTCGTAACTTTTTAACAAAGCTTCAAACGACCTACGTTTATACAACATTTTTCTACCAATTATACCCACAGAACACACTGACGAAGTTTGATCCAAAAAAAAATTTGGACACCCGGTATATCACAATATCAAATGAATTCGTTAACGAGGTTAACGCTACGAGATGAGAACGACGCGTGTTTCGTGTAACAGAAAATTTTCGACAGCTAAGAACGAAAGAATCGTAGCATTTTATTACGAATATTGGTCACGAACGTGTTAAGATACTCTCGATATTTCGCGCCTCCGTGTAAATGGCGATGGACGATCGAAAAAATTTTTGGCCATTCGAACCGGCGTCGTTATGATACCAATTAGTTGGTTTAATTGACGTTCCATTGTAACGTCTGTCGACGTATCAATCACGGCAATGCGTAACTGATTGATCCTCCATCTGGTCCCATTGTTCTCGATACACGATTCTCTGGCCACACATAAATCGATCTTAGCAAAGCGTTTCCACTACGACTTTGTCACTTATTAGCCTTGTTCTAACTCGTCCACAGCTGTTTCCTTTTTTTCCCTCGCGAGCCTTCGGTAATTGTGTATTTTTAGCAAATTAGAATCGTCGATGTAGATATGCAATTTGGTAAGTGAGAATATCTTCTCAACATCGATCGATTAGGTGTACCTACTCTTTTCTTTTCTTATCCTTTTTCCGCGCAAGAGAAAGTAATCAGACCGCGGGCTAACTATAATAGAATTATGCCTAGACAAAGGATTGATTGAATAACTTCGAAAAGAATAATGTCGCTAAATGAAAACTTTCGTTTAGCCAATAATTTCTTGAAGTTAGGATACATAAGATTGAAATTAGATACAGAAGAGCGTGGAGAGTTGGTAAATTGTTGTTTTAAAATGGTAATGTAATTAACGAATATTTAATCACGTATCGAGTGTTCGTAACTAGATCTATAATTTATTTATGTAATTAGAGAGTTCGTTGTTCATTCATGTTCCAATTTATAAATTATTGTAGATCATGTATGTATACTAAAGGTTCACGAATGACTAGAAAAGTTGTATAAAAATAAATAGAATTTATTACACAAATTTGTATAACATATCAATTCAAGCAATGTAAATGCCTACGTTACGATATTCTTGTAGATACTGCTTTCGCGAGTTCAATCAGAAATTAATAATCGTAGGTAAGTATCGCACGTTAAAACCAGAATTTTAATGGAAACGAATGGATAGAGTTTAGTAGACCCCGGAGGTGTCGCATGCGCGATTCTACACATAAAGTGTGTCCAGATTATTTATTAACTTCATGTACATTAATTTGGAAGCAAGCCAGAAAAGATCTACGAAGAAAATAGCCCTCTGCAATTATGAAATAAACTTATGAAACACATTACACTCCAAGTTCGTGAGATATGCGATTTTAGTTAATAAATGGAACGTTATTCTAACTAACGATACTTGCCTGTACAATTAAAACACGCTGTGTATAAATAAAATCACTTCGTCACCGTTTCATTTATATATAAAACAGTTACAAAATTATTCTCTCTTCGCAAATCATTCTGATTGTCCTGTATAACCCTTAAACGGAACTTACGTTGACATTTTCTTCGTACCTTCGAACAAAATCGACAAGTACAAATTGAAAACATTTAAAAAAAAAAAAGAAAAGGTTTTTATTATTAATTCTAAACGGATAAAAGAATAATTCTCGCGATAGTCTGCTTTGAGCGTAAAATACGTGTTGACACGCGTATTCGTGAGTTCAGTAGTTTCTTCTTGAATATTTCAATCGTCTTTCCGCGACCAAAAGGGAAAATGTATTATTTGGTGACCGGAGTTTTAGCATTGGCAAGATGTTTATACATTCTGTGTGCGCGTAACGGAAATATTGGTGGTTGGCGCACAGTAACAGCATACAAGGAGCCGCCATTAAATAATAGACTACAAATTATGTGCGTATTGTAATGCACATCGCCTAAAACTGGGTCCTTGGCTAATTGCCCATCCTAGTCCACGAGGTCAACGCAAAGGAATAAAGGGGAGAAAAAAAAGATGAAAAAGTCTAATTGTTCGTAAACCGGAACTGAAATTACCAATTGCAGCCAAGGATTAGGTTTTTGAGACAGTTGCTTAATTAATGTCTGGGCAATTTCTTTAAACGGATGCTCAATCTGAAGACATTTTCTGTGAATATAATATGTAGGTATATATAGGTACATAACTTTTGTGTAATGTATGGTATTTTTTAAATTTCAGTTTCATTTCATGTCTGCAGAAACAAAGTAGGTACCTATTAAATTTTAGGGTGTGCGTGTTTTATTTATTAGAAAAAAGCAGTCTTAAAATTGAGAGTCTTGTTTAATGTCAAATATTAAGTCAACATTTAAAGAATCATTATTGGGAAAAATGAAAGAGACGATCAATTTTTTGAAATAATCAAATAGGTGTAGAATCCAGTTCAAACAGAGTCAAACTAAATTTTTTTCATCTGATTTCATGACTATTTGTCATTTATTAATAAATGCGACAGAAAATGTATTACACTAAACGTATCTTATAATCACTAAATTGTTTGAAATAATCAAATAGGTGTAGAATCCAGTTCAAACAGAGTCAAACCAAATTTTTTTCATCTGCTTTCATGCCTATTTGTCATTTATTAATAAATGCAACAGAAAATGTATTACACTAAACGTATCTTATAATCGCTAAATTTTTTGAAATAATCAAATAGGTGTAGAATCCAGTTCAAACAGAGTCAAACTAAATTTTTTTCATCTGATTTCATGCCTATTTGTCATTTATTAATAAATGCAACAGAAAATGTATTACACTAAACGTATCTTATAATCACTAAATTGTTTGAAATAATCAAATAGGTGTAGAATCCAGTTCAAACAGAGTCAAACTAAATTTTTTTCATCTGATTTCATGACTATTTGTCATTTATTAATAAATGCAACAGAAAATGTATTACACTAAACGTATCTTATAATCACTAAATTGTTTGAAACAAATTTTCTCCATCTGATTTCATGCCTATTTGTCATTTATTAATAAATGCGACAGAAAATGTACTGCACTCAAGGTATTCTATAATCACAAAATTTTTTGAAATAATCAAATACATATACATGTAGAGTCCATTTCAAACAGCGTCAAACTAAATTTTCTGCAATTGCTCTCATATCTATTACTCATTTATTAATAAATGCAACAGAAAATGTATTACACTCAACGTATCTTGTAATCCCTAAACTTTTTGAAATAATCAAATGCATGTAGAATCCACTTCAAACAGCGTCAAACAAAATTTTCTCCGTCCACTTTTACGCCTATTAGTCACTCATCAATATATCCAACAAAAATTATGCTGCACTCGACGTATTAAAAATGCTGTCGTCAAAACCTCTTCGTCTATCGAGTAACTACTATTTCATTACACGAAAACGTCTTCCCCCTTCAACCTCCTAATTGCAACCCATCTTTGCGCCATCAGAATTGCCCCGAAAGCAAAACCAGGTGATCAAAACAACAACTCACCATTAAATCTCCATCATCATCCACTCGTTTCGTTTCTTCTCTCAGTTCCGACTACCTCCTCGGAGAAGTCTTCACCAGCGGAAAAAAAGGGTTGCGAAAAGCAGCTAGGCAGCGATAAAAATCTCCGCTGCCATACATCACACGGCCCTAAATCTTCCAGGTTGAATCAAGGAACCGTTCAAAGGCGTGAAAGATTCCGTTTGAAATATGAACGAAGCATCGATATGCCGCACGATCTGAGCACGTGGTGTCGAACGGACCAAGGAACCAAGTGGACGTAGCTTAAGAGGCCCATCTGCGCAAGCACAGGTGCAAGTTCGAGGGTATAAAGAGGAGAAGCTCGAGCTCGCTGCGCGCACTTTGTGCTTCATCTGTCTGTCACTCGCGTCGCGCACTTGTCCGCTCCCGTTCGTTGTTTTCCGCGGCGATCACAGCCTACGTTTTATCCTTTCGCTTCTCGATCGGCAAATAATCGATCTCATCAGCTGATCAACCAACGTCGTCGCTGTTCTCATCGTCGTCGAGATCCTCGTGCAGTGAAAATATCCTCGGTTTGATCGCGTCCTCGTCGCGCGTTTTCACTTCGAAGAGCTCCAGTTCGGCCGCAACCAGGTAGGTGCAGAAATATTTTGTCACCAAGCTTCTCTAGGAATATCGTTTCTGATGTTTCATCGTGACGGTTGTTGTTTCTTTGTTTTCTTTGCGTGGTGAACTGAGATTGAGCGTGATCGAATTGAGATAGTTGAGACGGGATAAATCAGTGAGTTGGTGCGAATACAAAGAGGGAAATTGATTTATACCAGTTCGTTGGAAGAGAGTGAGATACTAAAGAGATAAAAGCAGGTGGATATTGAG